TGCGGCTAGATATTGACCCGAGGAATCGATTGCGACCCTTATTTTGGCGATCAGACGAACCCTTGAGGCACTTTTGACGCGCCCCGTCCTTTAAGGGCCGATTAAGGGGTAAGGGGTAAGTTGCACACATCTGGAACCCGAGGCTGCGGCTAGATATTGACCCGGGGAATCGATTGCGACCCTTATTTTGGCGATCAGACGAACCCTTGAGGGCGTTTTGCCGCGCCCCTTCCTTTAAGGGCCGATTAAGGGGTAAGGGGTAAGAGCTAGGGCCAAATAAAGGTCATATTCTTGCTCCCCGTCCCCCAATTGACCTAATATGAGTTTTTTAAGCGATTCTGAATCCGACGCTGTATTCGTTGCTGTTGCTGACGCTAACTTCACGGACATGATTCGCGACCTCTAAACATCAATATTTTCCCATAAAAATTTGCCTCCCTTATTTTTTACGGGAATGGAACCGGAAAACCACCCGCACGCATTAACAATCAAAAATTGATTTTTAAGTGCCACCCTAGTGAGCATGTACCGATCACAACCACCACAGACCTGACGCACCACCCAGTACAACATGACCAAGATGAGGGTGAACATGTACCGATCCCAACCACCACAGACCTGACGCACTATCCAGTACAACAGATGAGGGTGAGCATGTACCGATCCCAACCACCACAGACCTGACGCACCATCCAGTACAACATGACCAAGATGAGGGTGAGCATGTACCGATCACAACCACCACAAACCAGACGCACCATCCAGTACAACATGACCAAGATGAGGGTGAGCATGTACCGATCACCACCACAGACCTGACGCACTATCCAGTACAACAGATGAGGGTGAGCATGTACCGATCACCACCACAGACCTGACGCACCATCCAGTACAACATGACCAAGATGAGGGTGAGCATGTACCGATCACACCACAGACCTGACGCACCATCCAGTACAACATGACCAAGATGAGGGTGAGCATGTACCGATCACAACCACCACAGACCTGACGCACCATCCAGTACAACATGACCAAGATGAGGGTGAGCATGTACCGATCCCAACCACCACAGACCTGACGCACTATCCAGTACAACAGATGAGGGTGAGCATGTACCGATCCCAACCACAACAGACCTGACGCACCATCCAGTACAACATGACCAAGATGAGGGTGAGCATGTACCGATCACAACCACCACAAACCAGACGCACCATCCAGTACAACATGACCAAGATGAGGGTGAGCATGTACCGATCACCACCACAGACCTGACGCACCATCCAGTACAACATGACCAAGATGAGGGTGAACATGTACCGATCCCAACCACCACAGACCTGACTCACCATCCAGTACAACATGACCAAGATGAGGGTGAGCATGTACCGATCACCACCACAAACCTGACGCACCATCCAGTACAACATGACCAAGATGAGGGTGAGCATGTACCGATCACAACCACCACAGACCTGACGCACCATCCAGTACAACATGACCAAGATGAGGGTGAGCATGTACCGATCACCACCACAGACCTGACGCACCATCCAGTACAACATGACCAAGATGAGGGTGAGCATATACCGATCACCACCACAGACCTGACGCACCATCCAGTACAACATGACCAAGATGAGGGTGAGCATGTACCGATCCCAACCACCACAGACCTGACGCACCATCCAGTACAACATGACCAAGATGAGGGTGAGCATGTACCGATCACCACCACAGACCTGACGCACCATCCAGTACAACATGACCAAGATGAGGGTGAGCATGTACCGATCACACCACAGACCTGACGCACCATCCAGTACAACATGACCAAGATGAGGGTGAGCATGTACCGATCCCAACCACCACAGACCTGACGCACCATCCAGTACAACATGACCAAGATGAGGGTGAGCATGTACCGATCACACCACAGACCTGACACACCATCCAGTACAACATGACCAAGATGAGGGTGAGCATGTACCGATCCCAACCACCACAGACCTGACGCACCATCCAGTACAACATGACCAAGATGAGGGTGAGCATGTACCGATCACCACCACCACAGACCTGACGCACCATCCAGTACAACATGACCAAGATGAGGGTGAGCATGTACCGATCACAACCACAGACCTGACGCACCATCCAGTACAACATGACCAAGATGAGGGTGAACATGTACCGATCACCACCACAGACCTGACGCACTATCCAGTACAACAGATGAGGGTAAACATGTACCGATCACCACCACAGACCTGACGCACCATCCAGTACAACATGACCAAGATGAGGGTGAACATGTACCGATCACCACCACAGACCTGACGCACCATCCAGTACAACATGACCAAGATGAGGGTGAGCATGTACCGATCCCAACCACCACAGACCTGACGCACCATCCAGTACAACATGACCAAGATGAGGGTGAGCATGTACCGATCACAACCACCACAGACCTGACGCACCATCCAGTACAACATGACCAAGATGAGGGTGAACATGTACCGATCCCAACCACCACAGACCTGACGCACCATCAAGTACAACAGATGAGGGTGAGCATGTACCGATCCCAACCACCACAGACCTGACGCACCATCCAGTACAACATGACCAAGATGAGGGTGAACATGTACCGATCACAACCACAGACCTGACGCACCATCCAGTACAACATGACCAAGATGAGGGTGAGCATGTACCGATCCCAACCACCACAGACCTGACGCACTATCCAGTACAACAGATGAGGGTGAGCATGTACCGATCCCAACCACCACAGACCTGACGCACCATCCAGTACAACATAACCAAGATGAGGGTGAGCATGTACCGATCACACCACAGACCTGACGCACCATCCAGTACAACATGACCAAGATGAGGGTGAGCATGTACCGATCCCAACCACCACAGACCTGACGCACCATCCAGTACAACATGACCAAGATGAGGGTGAGCATGTACCGATCACCACCACAGACCTGACGCACTATCCAGTACAACAGATGAGGGTGAGCATGTACCGATCACCACCACAGACCTGACGCACCATCCAGTACAACATGACCAAGATGAGGGTGAGCATGTACCGATCACCACCACAGACCTGACGCACCATCCAGTACAACATGACCAAGATGAGGGTGAGCATGTACCGATCACAACCACCACAGACCTGACGCACCATCCAGTACAACATGACCAAGATGAGGGTGAGCATGTACCGATCACAACCACCACAGACCTGACGCACCATCCAGTACAACATGACCAAGATGAGGGTGAGCATGTACCGATCACAACCACAGACCTGACGCACCATCCAGTACAACATGACCAAGATGAGGGTGAGCATGTACCGATCACACCACAGACCTGACGCACCATCCAGTACAACATGACCAAGATGAGGGTGAACATGTACCGATCACACCACAGACCTGACGCACCATCCAGTACAACATGACCAAGATGAGGGTGAGCATGTACCGATCACAACCACCACAGACCTGACGCACCATCCAGTACAACATGACCAAGATGAGGGTGAGCATGTACCGATCACCACCACAGACCTGACGCACCATCCAGTACAACATGACCAAGATGAGGGTGAGCATGTACCGATCACACCACAGACCTGACGCACTATCCAGTACAACATGACCAAGATGAGGGTGAGCATGTACCGATCACCACCACAGACCTGACGCACCATCCAGTACAACATGACCAAGATGAGGGTGAGCATGTACCGATCACACCACAGACCTGACGCACCACCCGGTACAACATGACCAAGATGAGGGTGAGCATGTACCGATCCCAACCACCACAGACCTGACGCACTATCCAGTACAACAGATGAGGGTGAGCATGTACCGATCCCAACCACCACAGACCTGACGCACCATCCAGTACAACATGACCAAGATGAGGGTGAGCATGTACCGATCACAACCACCACAGACCTGACGCACTATCCAGTACAACATGACCAAGATGAGGGTGAGCATGTACCGATCACCACCACAGGCCTGACGCACCACCCAGTACAACATGACCAAGATGAGGGTGAGCATGTACCGATCACCACCACAGACCTGACGCACTATCCAGTACAACATGACCAAGATGAGGGTGAGCATGTACCGATCACAACCACCACAGACCTGACGCACCATCCAGTACAACATGACCAAGATGAGGGTGAGCATGTACCGATCACCACCACAAACCTGACGCACCATCCAGTACAACATGACCAAGATGAGGGTGAGCATGTACCGATCCCAACCACAGATCTGACGCACCACCCAGTACAACATGACCAAGATGAGGGTGAGCATGTACCGATCCCAACCACCACACAGACCTGACGCACCATCCAGTACAACATGACCAAGATGAGGGTGAGCACTGAGCAGTGACTCTGGCATGAGTGTAACGAGGCACCTCCCCTCATCCGTCCTGGCCATCCATCTTTGCCAGTTCTAGAGGCTTTAGTTACCTACGTATTAAATTACTGGTGTGAGTGCTGTTGGTGAAAGGCTTTCAGGTGATTCGCTGGCTGTTATCTCACAGGACAAAACGAAATTAGTATGAGTAACTCATAAAGATAAACAGCACCCATCAACTGTTGATGTGTGCTGTGTATCTTAATGCCGTGTATTACCGCAGTGTTGGACAGTCCGTGACGCACCCCGTCTGCCGCCGTGACGCGCCCCGTGTCTGCCGCCGTGACGCACCCCGTCTGCCGCCGTGACGCGCCCCGTGTCTGCCGCCGTGACGCGCCCCGTCTGCCGCCGTGACGCGCCCCGTGTCTGCGGCCGTGACGCGCCCCGTGTCTGCCGCCGTGACGCGCCCCGTGTCTGCCGCCGTGACGCCGTCCCGTCTGCCGCCGTGACGCGCCCCGTGTCTGCCGCCGTGACGCGCCCCGTGTCTGCAGCCGTGACGCGCCCCGTGTCTGCCGGCAGGACAAGTACCTGCACACCAACTGTCTGGCGGCGCTGGCCAACATGTCGGCAGAGTTCCGCCAGCTGCACCCGTACGTGTGCCAGCGGCTGGTCTCGCTGTTCGAGGTGCTGGCCAAGCGGCACGGCCGGCAGCTGGAGCAGCTGCGCGCCGCGGCGGCAACCGACGCCACCCAGCCGGACGAGGGCGCCGTACAGGTGAGTCCCGTTTTACTACTTGGAACGAGTACCTAATTAGTGGTATAAATTCCAAAATAAATTCAACAATCTGATTGCGATTGCATAACTAGATCATGGTTGAATCGTTCATCATTTTTTTCTATTTATCAGTCATTGCATTACACGATAGCGGTTAAATTTAGAACCAACCAAATAAAAGGAATGATAAACGGATCGTTTATTTCGCTGGGACGTCGTCCCACCGCCGGCGCGTGGGTAGCTCCGTGGCGCTGGTTTGGCGCGGACCCGGCTGTGTGACGTGTGGGACGGGTGTGCCCGCCGGCCGCCAGGACCTGGCCGTGCTGGAGGAGGTGCTACGCATGCTGCTGGAGATAATCAACTCGTGCCTGACGGCCCAGCTGGTGCACAACCCCAACCTGGTGTACACGCTGCTCTACAAGCGCGGCGTGTTCGAGCTGTACCGCACCCACCCGAACTTCCAGGACATCACGCACAACATCGACACGGTGAGACCGCACGCACGCACACACTGCCGCCGACACACAACGTGCGAACGCTGCGCTAGCGTGTATACGGCATGCGCCTGTAGTAATATTGGTGTCAAGATAAGGGCCCAGGCGACCTGTAGTTCGGATGCGGTGAAGACCTTTACCCTCGCCACAATTCGAGTGGAAGGGGAGGATGGGGTTGAATGGATGAGGGGTGTGCTCGGCCCTTAGTCTGACAGCGGGGTCGCAGGCCAAGGGTATTCACCGCATCAAAACTACAGGTCGCCTAGGCTTTTTTCTTGAGACCAATAGTACACGTGTTTTATCAGTTTCCGATTTACCATGTCAAATATCGAAACAAAGGCCCATACAGTTGTCTGCATGGCGAAATATTCGAAGGTTTGTTGTCTCTGAGAGCTGCGTTGGCGGCGATGTTTTACTGTTGCGGTTAGCACTGTGTGCGAGTGCGCCCACCGGCCGACCGTTACAGACGCCGCCCCTCCCGGCCTGTCTGCGCACCAGGTGCTGCTCTTCTTCAGCTCCAAGCTGGAGAGCCTGCACAAGGACATCGGGGTGCGTGACGTACACGCGGTGATCCAGGACGGCGCCAAAAAGTTCCCCCTGGAGCGGCTCAAGGTGAGGACGCTCAGTTCCTTTCTACTCCCAGCGGCCGGGGTCGGCCCGCTTCATATAGAAAGGCCTGGTAATGCTAGTGTCACTTAGCCCAAAGTGCCACCTACTCAAAGGGCTCCTTTTGGAAACGACTCTGACGCGTTCATGTAGCCGGCTCATAGTCGCCCTTAAAGGTAGTGTGCCACCTTTAAAAGATTTCCCATTTTATTTTTCCTAGGATAAGAAGCCTCTGTTTTTACCTAATATCGCAAAAAAAAAATCAAAAATGGGCCTGGAATAGTGTCTTTTTCGCCTAAAAGTTTTTCGGTTTTTAGATATGTATAACAACTGTAGTGGGCTCACCTGCAAACAGGCGTCGGGCAACAATCGCGAATGCGGCGCACTTGTGACAATAAGCAAAGGTCATTATAGTGTTACGACCATACGACGTACGGGAATGAGTTATCAGCTGTCTAATCGTAGAGAACACAATGTCGAGCCTTAAACTGTAAGCCCGTATTGGTATTGTTTCTTTTATTTGGCTGTCGAACATTATTTATGGTTTGAAATATGATTTTATGTAAAATAATTGATATGAAAAAGCCGTCTTATAAGTTATGACCCCATTTCACCACACGCAAGTGGCAGAAATGACAATGATCAGCTGACGCATTTTTCTTGGCCGAAGTCAGAGCGCGCGGCCCGACGCACCACGCGTATTTGGAAATTCCGACCTCGACGAGCATCAGAAGCCACCTAACAGGCGTGTTCGAAACCGCAGGAGATGATGATGAACGGGTTTATCGAAACTTGATTGGATGAGCATATCGGTAATAGCGATTTCAGTGTGTGCATTTATTGTTTATAGTGGTGTGAAATGTGGTTGGGGTACGACCGACAACCCGTCGGGGCGAATTTCGCACTGGGGTACTCAAAATTTGAAGAATTTAAGACGTTTCCATGAGTTTTGAAGGTATGGATAAGTTCTAAAAATCCGGTTCTCCTTATCTGGGCCATTAACTCCATACGGTCCAGGAAAGCTGGCACACTACCTTTAAGCCACCCTAACCAAAGTGTCACTCTGGGTCGCACTACGTGCCCTAGCTCGGCACACTCTCTGACAATGCGTGTCTCCGCGCCCTCTATAGGTCCTGTAGTGTAGACTCGCATGAAGCGTTTGCGATGACCAGATAAACATTAGACTACTAGCGAGCGGTCCTCTCACGGGTGCGCGCGTGCTGCAGGGAGCGGTGAAATGGGCGAACAACTCAGTCTCTCGTCTAACCTCTGCATGAACATTGAACATTCGTACAGTTAAAAGGAAACCGATAAAAGCTCTTGGATAGGCGAGTCTACTGGACACTGAAATGTTGCAGATTGCATGGCAGGTCGAGGTCAAGTCAAAGGGCAAAGTCAGTTGGTTTCGCAAACGAGACAGGGAAGACTGTTTGACGGCGTGCAGCCAGAGCGTGACAGCAGATCGGGAAGACCTAGCTGTCATTGTTCGTTGGTAAGCACATTAGGACACCGTGTATGTAAATTAACTACACAGTGAGGGCCAAGAAGAGGTCAAGCTGCCATAGGTCAGCACAAAGCAGATATTGAATATTATAAGACACTTGTAGGTATGTTGTTTTATATAGAATAATAGGAAATTTGAGCCGGTCCTGTCGCTCAGTTGGAAGAGCGTTGGACTCCGCGTGGTGAGAGCACGCGTTCCCGGTTACAGCAGTCCGGGTTCGAACTTCGAAGCGTGACGGGCGCGTGACGTTATGAGCCTCCTAACTGGTATGGTTGCGGTTGGTGACAGGCCGTAGCCAGGCGAAGTCAGTGAGGTGACCGGCCGTGCGTGGCAATGTGCGCACGTTAAACTTTGGACTCTGAATATTGCCATAGAACATGAATATCGCAATCGGAGGGTAGAGGGCAGGGTCAACGCAACAAGCTTCGCTTAGCTGGGATCTGTCCTTGTGAATCCTTCTATTCAAAACATTCGGACTAAATTTATAGAAAAAATAATAAACTCACTTAGGCCAGTAACATAGCCAATAACTGGCCAGTAACATCAACTCTCGCCGCTAGATGACAGTAGTAGAACGCCTGCAGTTATGCTGTGCCGCAGTGATCAGTAGTTTCAACTCTCGCCGCTAGATGACAGTAGTAGAACGCCTGCAGTTATGCTGTGCCGCAGTGATCAGTAAAGTCTTCTCTCGCCGCTAGATAGCAGTAGTAGAACGCCTGCAGTTGTGCTGTGCCGCAGTGATCAGTAGTTTCAACTCTCGCCGCTAGATGACAGTAGTAGAACGCCTGCACTGTTATGCTGTGCCGCAGTGATCAGTAACTTCACCTCTCGCCACTAGTTGGCAGGACCAGAACGCCTGCATTTATACTGTGCCGCAGTGACCAGGAACTTCATCTCTTGCCGCTAGATGGCGATAGTAGAACGCCTGCAGTTATGCTGTGCTGCAGTGATCAGTAGTCCTCTCTCGCCGTTAGATGGCAGCAGCAGAACGCCTGCAGTTATACTGTTTGGACTGTTATGTTACGACCGGGACGCGAGATCTCACCTCGCGGAGTCCAAGGCTCTACCGACTGAGCTACGGGACCGGCTCAGGCGGTTCCGGAAGTTGAGGTTAACATAGTTAAAATTGTCAGGCCACCAGGTCAGTCCAACTGACCTCACCTCGAAAAAAAAACTTAAAATGTTCGGCTATAGCTACACCGACGGCACGATCGCCTTGAAACGTTCAGCGATTGATATGAATAATGTTAGGATAAGTATGCATAATATATTATTATTTCTTAAATTTAGCACTAATTCAGGCACTTGGTATTTCTAACTTATCACGCATGGGGTCACTGGCGGGCTCCTGGGGGCCTACATCATTCTCTGGGAGCCCTAGGCGGGCTCCTTTGGGTCTTTCCAGTTGACTAGCATATCAATAGGGCTTCACGCGCGACTCAACTTCTGAGTTATTAAATTACAGCTACAATGGTCTCTGAGGAGTCCCACCTGTCTATTTTTGGAAGAAAACGTTTCATTGGTTTTTATCAGACATGTGCTTGGATCCGGAAAAATGGATCTGAGATCCGATCCCATGGATCCCGATCCGAGATCCATTCAGATCATAGATCCAACCCCTCAATTTTGTCGAGAGATCTACTGGGATCATAGATCTGACCCTTCAATTTTGTCGAGAGATCCACTCGGATCATAGATCTGGCTCCCCAATTTTGTCGTGAGATCCATTGGGATCATAGCTCATAGGTGCTCAAAATGTTAACAACTTTCTTTCATAAGAAGTTATGAATACCAAAGTATGGTTAGAAACAAACAATCTTATACAAAGGCCATATTAGTAAAGGCATCCAGTTACATTATACAGAATACAAAATAAAGGAGGCTCATGACGGTCACAACTTGAGAGAATTGAGTGACATGAAGATTGTTCACAGTTCACATACCTACCAACAGAAAAGTTTGCATTAACAATTAACATAGAGGTAAGTCAAAGTAATGACTAATGAACAATACATAACTAGGTACAGTCGTGTACAGGTTGATGGTCCCCTACTCCTTATACACCGGGTTCCTATGGCTCAGCATTGGCAGCAGCCGCCTGGTACAGGGACCCGCAGTTGCTTCTGTACACACTAGTATTTCAGCGTATTCTTTGCCTGTGACACCGTTGGAGGCGAATTGGGAAATTATTGTGTGCTTATTAAAACCATCATCTGAAGGGCTTTAAAATGATGTGCTGCTCTCCTAATTCAGTGAACTTTTAATGGCTATATCAGCAAAACATTGTTTTCAGCGCTTTTTCCTGCCCCATTCCTTCTGAAACCTGGAACCGCTTATTCCATTTACTCCTGCCATCTGACGATGGTCGTGCTGACTACTAGTTCCGGCGCTAGTTACTGCTCCAGTTTTGCACCCGGCACAAACTCAGGCGGCACCGGGCCGTGGCTCGACCAGGGGAGGGTCGGACCGAGCCGACTGCCTGGGGCGCGGTTAGATCGGACGCCCTGCTGGGGAAGGGGACGGGAGTGAGGGGGAGGGGAGGAGGTGGTCACGTGGTCCGTCCAAGCTCGCAGACGGCCTGTCCTGCGCCCAGCCATGTTCCGTGATCCAAAATGGCACGAGAGCTGTGGAATGCCTGGAGGAGACGCTTCGAAAGCGACCTTCAGCAGCACTAATTTACCATATTCTGTGGATATAAATGAATATTATCTTAATGCAGAAAAAAATGTATGCCCAAGCTGTATAGGCTGTATCTTTTTTAAAGTTGTAAATAGGATTATTCTTAGGGACAATTATAGGTTTCGTATACACAGTGAATTGTGTTACATTGAGCCGTTTCGCTGTTACGGTTACTAACTGAAGAGTTATCCTTTTTTCTCACAGGGAATGACAATACAATAACAATACGAATAAAACCAGACGTTTCGCACAAAAAAGTGCCTCCGTCAGTGGCAAGAAATAAGTAATTAGGCATACATGTTTTCTTTCGCTAAAATCGATGAAGTAGTTATATTTATTTTTAAATCTTTTTAGCAGTCTTTTAACCCTCGCCCGCACATGGGGGGGGGGGGTGGTTGCCACCCCCCCCCCAGGCAGTCTTTCTGCTCTGCACTCAACATTTTTAGAGCTAGAAGGCTGATTTTTCGTATAGCTGCTCCTCTATCCTTTCTTGATGTCCACTGAAAATTTCAAGTTTCTGTGATTTTGGTTTCGGAGATATGATCTTGTTTTTCAGGTCATGTCATGACCCAAATGGCCAATTCTCAACATCTTGCGTTTGCCATGGGCCTTGTGAGCTTTTGACACCCTGATTTGGGCCTTTTTTGCCAGTCTTACCTCCCACCTATCATGGAACATGTTGTTCGACGATGTACAGGGGTCAAGGTCAGGGTCAAGGTCAACCTAGGTCATCTAAGATAATTTCGTTTTAGGCAAGCTGAATTTACTTTTTGTGAAGTTTTTTGACTGCATTTTTGGTAAAAGCTTCTCAGATCATGATTTC